CCTAAAGGAAAACAACCTCCAACACAGACTGTTGTACCATGAAAACTATCTTTCAAAATTGATGGAGAAATAAGATACTTTCATGACAAAGAGAACCTTAGGAACTTCATGAATACTAAACCAGCACTCCAAAATTTTAAAACAATATCCTAGGAAAAGACAATGAGGATCACAACCCCAGGAAGTCCAGCACGATGAATCCATTAGGCACAACAAGAAATTAAATGCAAAGGGGGAGAATCCAACAAAAAGAAAAGTCATGACAAGTATAAGTCAATACTCAGTTATGGCCATCAATGTTAATAGTCTCAATGCATCCATCTAAAGAAGTAGACTGGCAGAATGGGTCAAGAAGCAAGATCCAACAATATGCTGGATACAAGAAACACACTTAATTAAAAAAGAAACTCATAGACTAAAAGTTAAAGGGTGGAAAACAATACTCCATGTGACAGGAAACAAAAAAAAAAGCAGGAGTAGCTATCCTCATTGCAGATCAAGTGGATTACAAACCAAAACTGATTAAGAGAGACAAAGGACACTACATCCTTACAAAGGGAACAATCAAGAGGAAGAGATGACAATCATAAACACATGTGCACTGAACACTAGTGCACCTAACTGTATAAAACAAATATTAACGGACATGAAAAATCACATAAACACAGTAGTGGGGAACCTCAGTACCCCACTGTCACAAATAAATAGATCAACCAGACAAAAAATGAACAATGAAATACTAAAACTCAAACTCTTGAACAAATGAACTTATAGATGCTTGTAGAGTGTTTCACCTCACAAAATCAGAATACACATTCTTTTCAGCTGCACATGGATCGTCTCCAAAACAGACCACATACTCACTCATAGAACATGTTTAAATAAATGCAAAGGAATTGAAGTTGTCCCCTGTATATTATCAGACCATAGTGTGATGAAATTGGAGATCAATAGCAAAAGAAATTGCAAGAATTACATAAGCACATGGAAATTGAACAGCACATTTGTAAATAACCAATGGGTCACAGAGGATATTAAAGAACAAATCAGACATTCCCTACAATTAAATGACAATGACAATACAACATATCAGAATCTATGGGACACAATGAATTCCCAGCCTTACAAGTGAAATTCATAGCAGCGAATACTCATATTAGGAAAACAGATCAAGCCCAATTAAACAACCTCATACTGACCTTAAGCTTCTAGAAAAAGAAGAGCAGGACAAACCCAAAGTTCATACAGGGGAGGAAATTATAAAGATCAGAGCAGTAATTAACGCAATGGAGACTAAGAGAACAATACAAAAAAATCAACAAAGTCAATAGTTGGTTCTTCAAAAGAATAAAAAAAAATTGACAAACTCTTAGCCAACCTTATCAAAAAAGGAAAGAAAAGGCCTAAATCCATGCAATTAGGAATGAAAAGGGTGAAATTACAATGGGCCCAGCAGAAATCCAGAAGATCATCAATACCTATTTTGAGAACCTATATGCCACTAAGATGGAAAATACAGAAGAAATGGACAGATTCCTAGATAGGTATGAATTATCAAAGTTGAATGAAGATGACATAAAAATTCTAAATGACCCAATATGAATCAATGAAATTGAAAATGTAAGTAAAAACTTACCAACTAAGAAAAGTCTGGGTCCTGATGACTTCACTGCTGAATTCTACAAGATATTTAGAGAGGAACTACTGCCACTCCTATTTAAACTCTTCAATGAAATTGAAAAGGAAGCAATTCTCCTGAATTCATTCCTAGAAGCAAGCGTCAACTTGATCCCCAAATCAGAGAAAGACCCAACCGAAAAAGAGAACTATAGGCCAATCTTGCTAATGAACATAAATGCAAAAATCCTTAATAAGATACCTGCAAATAGAATATAGAATATAGGAAATCATCAAGAAGATCACACAGCCTAACCAAGTGTGATTCATCCCAGGGATGCAGGGATGGTTCAACAAATGCAAATAAATAAATGTAATATACTATATTAATAGAGCCAAGGACAAAAACCACATGATCATCTCAATAGATGCACAGAAAGCATATGACAAAATCCAAAATGCATTCATGATAAAACCCTCCAAAAAATTGGAATAGACAGTCTCTACCTCAATCTGATAAAATCCATCTATGGAAAACCAACAGCTAATATCATACTAAATGGTCAATAACTGAAATCCTCCACACTAAAATCAGGAACAAGACAAGGATGTCCACTATCACCACTCCTGTTCAATATAGTTTTGGAAATATTAACCACAACAATTACACAAGGGAAAGAAATAAAAGGAACAAAGATAGGAAATGAAGAAGTCAAAGTGTCATTATTTGCAGATGACATGATACTCTCTTTAGAAGACTCCACTCTTCTATTAGAAGAACTCCACCAAAAGTCTTCTAGACATAATAACCAAATTCAGCAAAGTAGCTGGATACAAGGTCAACCCACAAAAATCAATAGATTTCCTGTACACACACACACACACACACACACACACACACACACAAACACACAACAGACTCACTGAGAGAGAAATGGACAAATAATCCCCTTCACAATAGCATCCAAAAAATTGAAATACCTAGGAATCCACCTAATGAAAGAAATCATAGACTTCTACTCTAAAAACTACAGCACTCTGATAAAAGAGATTGAAGATGGAAAGACATCCCTTGCTCCTTGGGTGGGAAGAATCAACATAGTGAAAATGGCCATATTTCCAAAACTACTGTATCAATTGAGTGCAATCCCATTTGAAATCACTGCAGCATACTTCACAGACTTTGAGGAAATAAAATCCAAAAATTTATTTGGAACAAGAAGAGACCTAGAATAGCAAAAGCAATTCTGGGCAATAAAGGTAAGGTAGCGGGTATAACAATCCCCAACTTGAAACTATACTACAAAGCTACTGTGATAAAACAGCATGGTACTGGCAAAGAAACAGACCTGAAGATCAGTGGAAAAGATTAAAAGATGAAGACGTAACTCCAGACACACTAAGCCACCTTATCTTCAACAAAGGAGCCAAACCACCCTCATTGGAGGAAAGATAGCCTCTTTAATAAGTGGTGCTGGAAAAACTGGGTATCAACTTTCAAAGACTGTAACTAGCTCTATATCTCTCACCATGCTAAACTAAGCTAAAATCAAAATGGATCAAAGATCTAAATAAAATAGAAACACTAAACTGGCTGGAAGAGAGATTAGGTAGAGCTCTTGACATCGGTGTAGGAAGAGATTTCATGCACAAAACCTCAGTTGCCCATGACCTAGCACAAACAACAAACACATGGGATCTCTTCTTATTAAAAAGCTTCTGCACAGCAAAACAAAACAAAACAAAACGAAAAAAACAAACCAAACCAAAACAAAACAACACAACAACAACAAAAAAAACCCAACCAATAGTGTGAAGGACTAATCCACAATGTTGAAAAACCTTTCACCTGCTCTTCCTCAGACAAAGGTCTACTATCTAGAGTACATAAAGAACTTTAAAGAATCAGGCCTCCACAATTTAAAGATCCAATTAAAAAATGGGCATCTGAAAGAAGCAGACATTTCTCAAAGAACTAGAAAGAGCAAATAAACATATGAAAATATGTTCAACATCACTGGTCATTCAAGAGATGCAAATGAAAATCTCACTGAGATTCCACCTCATCCCAGAAAGAATGGTTGCTATTGTGAAATCAACCAATAACAAATGCTGGTTGGACTGTGGGGAAAGAGGGACCCTACTCCACTGCTGGTGGGAGTATAGACTGGTGCAACCACTGTGGAAATCAGTATGGAGATACCTCAAAAAACTAGGATTGGAGATCCCATTTGACTCAGCTATCCCGCTGCTTGGTATCTTCCCCAAAGTATCAATAGAATCATACCACAGTGATATACATGCACCCATGTTCATAGCAGCACAATTCAAGATAGCTAAATCTTGGAAGCAGCCCAGTTGTCCATAAACAGGAGACTGAATAAAGAAAAACTTTTTTAAAATAAAATGGAGTATTAGCCATAAAAAATGAAAAACTAGAGATGTTTGTAGCTAAATGGATGCACTTTGATCAGATACTCAAGTGAAATAAATAGTACACATTGTGTGTAAATACTGAATAGTTTCTTTAATGAGAGAAACTGAAAGTGTAAATAAGGTCTAAAAGGTATAACAGATAATGTGAAATAGGAAGAAAAGGTGCAAAGGGGAAGGGAATGTGAGAGAGGTAGGGGAGAAGAAAGATGGGAATGGAATTAACATGAGAAACAGAAAAAAATGGAAATAAAGTCTTTGTAGATTTGGAGGAGTGGAGGGGTTGAAGGAGGGCAGGGAAATGGGGAAAAAATAAGAACCAAGATGGATTATATAAAGGTACAAATTTCCAATGATGAATATCATTACATTGATACCTTAAATGTACCAATAAAATTAATTAATTAAAAATCATCATCATTTCACGTTATTGAAATATTCAAAGGCTACATGGGAATTCTTTTATATCCATCTTTATGCTTCGCTTTCCAAATTATCACTTGTTTTTTTTTTTTTTTTTTTGGTACGGTGCTGGGGATTGAACTTGGTTGCAAGGCAGGCCACCAAACTGCTGAACTAAATCCCTGGCTATACTTCTTGCCATCCCCGAGAAGATATAATTTCACAAATTATACAATGTGCAATGTTATGGAGCTAGATGGCTTTAAGTGAGAAAGAATATTTGAGTCAGCAAATTTTTAACCTAATTCAGAAAATGTGCATTCGGTTTGCCAGGCCTTTATGTGCAGACCGCTGGATTTGCATTACAGTCCAATCACTTTGATACGGTGAACGAAGACTGTCTTTTTTTTTTTTCTATCATAGACTCAATGTGGAATTTATTTCAGTGGAACCATTGATTACAATGAGATGTAGAAGTCATATCTATTTTCAGCTGCAAATAACAGAAAGGCCAACTCAAAGTAGCTTAAACAATCAGTTATTGGGTCAATTAACTAGAATAAGAGAAGGGTGAGATTTAGGGTGATTTTATCCTGTGTCTCTAGCTCATTTCCTTGCTCTTGACAGAAGGTTTGTCTTCGAGGAAGTAGCCAAACCACTGCAGAAGTATCTTGGTAACACTCAAGGAAGAGAGTACTGTGAGAATCTCTTTCACTGTGACGGTTAATTTCTGGCAGATCCTCCCTGAAAACCCTCTTTCACATTTATTTAGTCGTATATTGTCTTCTGCACCCATCACTGGTTCCAGGGATGGGCTTACTTCTGATATGATGGAGCTATCCCTACATCAGGCTTTCTGAAGCCCACAAAAGGTGTGAACAAGTGGAAGATAAGGCCTTCATATTGTTAGAAGAAAAAGAGACGGGAATTCTGGTAAGCAGCAGAGATAGGCTTCTATGTGGCGATTGCTGGTCATGTATAAAATATAGCCCCCTGAGAATAAAAAGCAAATAGAAAAATTGAGACGTTGTTACTGTTCCATATATAAAAATTATTTTTAGCTTAGAATTATTTAGAGATGTTACTCATTATTCCAGGAAAAGTATTTTCTGTAATTTCATATGGCTGCTGTAAAAATTACTACTGTTTTACTGACTTACAACAATGTGCATGTATTCTTTTTTTCCCCCATTAAGTTTTTTGGTACACTTAAAGCAAACAATACAGTTACATCTATCATTAGGATCTTGTACCTTTACATGATGTGTCCTGGTTCTTATTTTTCCCCATTCCCCTGCCCTCCCTTCACCCCCTTCACCCTTCCATATGTACAAAGACTTTGCTTCCATTTTTTTCCTTTTTATCACATTTTTTTCTTTTCCCTTATTTCTCTTCCCTCCCCTTCCCACTTCCCTTTTAGCCATTTTCTTCCTATTTCACACTATCATTTATACCACTTGACTTATTTAAACTTTTAGTTTTTCATACCAGATGTATTCTTTTATAATTCTGGAAGTCAGAGTTTCCAGTTGAGTCTTCGAGGACTAAAATCAACATGTTGTATGCTTGGTACCTTTTGAAGAAGCTTTCAAACCTTGCCTCTTCCAAGATTCCTGGTATTCCTAGGCAATTTGCCATATCTAATGGGTAACGTACCTCCTAATCTTCATGCATTTACATCTACATTCAACTTCTGTTGCTATCAAGACATCATCTTCTTGTAGTTTTAGCCCTTCTGCATATTTTTTTAAGTACCCTTGTGATACATTGGAATTACTAGGCTAATGAAGGATACTATCTACATCTCAAAATTTTTCACTGAATCACATTGAGCTTGGGAATTAAGATGTAGACATTTTTCTGAGCCCTCTATACTGTTACCATGTCACTTAATTCTTTAAATAACAAAGATCTACTTCCGTTTCCACCATATGCATAGTGGTTGAAGGAGTTAGAATGTTTAAATGTAGTAACAATTTCCTTTAAAATCCATATTAACCAATATTCTGACTTGCACCTTCTGGGTTGCATGGTAGACTAAGAAAACACACCAAAATCTCAGTTTCTTTATCCAATAGGTTACTAAGTAATATGTTATTACCTAGGGAAATATGATCAAAGGCACAATTTGAACATAAAATTTAAAAGTTGCCCTTTCCAAGCCACTGAACCTCTCTTATTTATTTCCCAGCCTCCATGAACACCAGCAATCAGACTGTCACAGTTCTGTTTTCAAAGTTGTCCACCTTTGGAGACAAACTCCAAACAAACTGGGTCAAACCATTTCAAGGGAATATCAAAGGACAGATTGACATAAGCTGTACCAAGCACATGCAACTTTAAATGTATTGATGACTATTTTTATTCTTATAAATTTATTTTAATTAACAAGTAAAAATTAAATATATTTTTCATGTACAACACAATGTTTTGAAATGCATGTAATTGTAGAGTGATTAAATAAAGCTAATTCACATATGTTACTTTATATTATCTTAGTTTGTCCCTTGACAAAACAATGACAATTATGGTATTTATTCCATTTAAATATTTTAGGCATTTCTAGTTTTGAAAATGCCCAGCAATAAAACGAAGGAGTTACATTTTTAGGCATCTGATATGAGCAGTTTATCTATGACTAACTTTATTAGAAAGTATGGATAATAATAATGCAGAATAATAAGTTGAGCTACATGAGATCGCTAACGTTTGTCTAATATTTTACTTACAATAATAGTAATTTTATCTGATTCAACATAATATTGAGTCTGTCAATATTGCTACAACAAATTACAGCAGTATTCACCTAAAACTGCAAAGGTACAATTGCTGACTTATTAAAAAACATTCACTTCCTCCCCTCTCCCAGTAATATGTGTGGCAGAGGTATTGCCTGCTTACCTACTCACACCTGTTGTCTTCCCTCCTCCATGATTTTGGGAGGCTGATTTGTGTGGCTTGTTTGGACTTATGGCATTCAGTTGGGTTAGTAAAGAAGAAAATCTGAGCACAATAAAATAAGGGTCTTTCCTCCTTCTATTTGTCTGGGTCATCCTTTATTATGCATCCCATCTGTATGTAAGGCTGCAGCTCTTACCAGCTACTCGCCACAAATGGCTACTAACAGATAGCTGGGGTAGATTCTTCCTGCCTTTGCTTCTGCAATCGTAAGAGAGGCAGACTGTTGTAGCTGTTCCTGGGGTTCTGCATAATTGCTCTCTTTTGACTTCTTTAAACTCTTCCAGACTCTTATAAACAATCTTTACCCAATTTGAATTTACCCTCTATTTCCTTCAGAAATCTGACTGTATACTTAAATCGTCACTCCAGACAGGTTCTCTCAAACTAGTAACTCCCATACATGCAGCCATGCGTCATTTTGTGGATGGCATTTGTCAAAGCATCTCTGAAGTCAGATAGAGGGTGAGCAGGAGAGAAGGGCATTCCTAACTGCAGACCCAGCTAGGACCACATGGGAGGCATTGGGCCTTCAGGTGATTCCAACCCCCAACCTTCAAGTCTATCACCTAAGACCCCAGGTATATTGGGTTAGAGACACTGGTATACTCTATCTGAATTCCTGACTCACAAAAACCATGAAAGATAAAAACTTACTATAAGCTGTTTTAAGCCACCAAACTTTAAGGTCTTTTATTACACAGTGGCAAAAACTACTATGCTCGTCCTCTCTAGCGTCTGTCACCTAAGGACCTCTCAATCTCTGAGGAGAGAAAATGTATTGAACCTATCTGACAGCAGACCAGGGTGATTCAGTTCTGCTGTTCTCCACATCTCTCCTGGTAGGACTTAACAGAGTAAAAAGTGACAAAGTGCGCAGACTCTGCTTCTGAATCGTGTGGCTGTAAGTACTAACCCTGACATGCATGAGCAGTGAGAATTTGGGGTCATTATGTAACCTCTACATGCTTGTTTCTTTATGGCAAAGAGGTATTATTTGTAACAAACTCAATGAGGAGGACTCAGGGAGGTATCATTTGTAAAGGTCTTAGAAGGGCGCGTGGAATACAACAAATGAGACCTTATTGCTAAATAAAATAATGCAAGACACATGCAATGGGTCAGAGAGTGATGATTTTCCGCACAAACAAAAGAATTGGTTTGACGCACTGAATCCAGAAAACATTATGGTTGGCCTTAAAAATCCGGTCTCCTCTGAAGTATCTCAACACATTGACTGCTAGATATAAATACTTGCGCTAAGTTTATAAACAGTTTTGCTAGGGTGAACCATAATTTTTAATCACTTTTGTAGATTACTTTTTTCTTCTCAACACCTTTAGATATTTCAAGAAATGTATGTGAGAGCCACTAAATCAGCCAGCATCCCATCAGGAAACATTTCGCTCAATCTGGTTGCCCCAGGAAAGTTTAAATAGGGGACTGTCATGATCAAGTTTGTGGGGCACCTTAATAAAAAGAGGCTTCTATATATAGCTCATGGCTTTTGGTGGACGAAAGTGCAAGACTGAGTAACTGCACCTGTTTTTCCTCTGATGAGGGCCTTCTGCCTGCATCATTCCATGGTAGACGCCATCACACAGTGACACAGGAAGCAAAAGGGCGGGGGCAGGATCACTCTTTTATATCTATCTGCTCTCTTGGGAACTAATTCAGTCTCACAAGACATGACCTACATTTTCAAAAAGTAATACTCCACTTGTAAGGGGTGACCTAATTACCTTTCACTTGATTCCACCTCTTAAAACTTCTACCATCTTGATATCACCATAGCAGACACCAAATTTCCAGTACATCCAAACCATAGATGCACAAGAATGAAGTCAATAAGAAAGGCTAGCACAGCTGGCAAGGTCAAGGAGCCATTACCTCCTACAGCCTAAAAGACAAAAGTCCTTAACTTAGTTCCCTGGAGAGCTAGTCTTAGAGGAACTTTGGCAGAAAGACATAGCTACCCATAGGTGACCTAGCTCAGAATGTTTGGTTATTTATTGTTATATTAACAACAACCCCTAAACTTACTAATGTAAAACAAAATTATGTACTATGATCATGACTGTGGGTCAGTAATGCTGGCAAGACATAACAGAGGTGGATAGTCTCTATTTTAAAATGCCTGGGGCCTTAGCTGATTGATTTAAGTATCTAGAAATGGTTGGGGAAGCTCAATAGGGTCATATATTTAGGGCCTCAATTCTTCTCTTGGCTGGATTCCTTGATTCTTCTGCACAACACATTTTCTAGGGTTGAAATGTCTTTCATGTATCTGTCTTCACTCAAATATCTACCTGGAAAAGCTGGGACAACTTGGAGATGGTCAGGATGACTAGGTATTGCTCTTTCTCCATGCAAATTCTTCCTATATCTAGCTTCTTATGGCTTCCTGGGCAGTCTCAAGGTATTCAGACTTCTTACATGGCAGCTCAAAGCCAGGGTGAGAGCAAATTTTCATCATGTGCAAAGTTCTAGAAAAGAGAAAACATGCTACATTTGAGGAAACATGGGACTTAGTCTTCTATAGCATGCAAGCATCACTAACAGCCTTGTAATTTCTGATGAGAAGCACGTTCTATATCCAGAAGACAATAGAGTGTCACTAATGTGTTTCAGGAGGGAAATGACTACAGATGATTTGCACTTCAGAAAAATCACTCTTCTTCAAACACAGAAATGCAAGTGTTCCTGTACTGAAGACAGTTATTAGAGGTGTAATAGAGAAACACTGATGAATTTAAAAGGTATATAGTAAAGTTCAATCTTTAGGGCCTTATGAGTGATTGGAAAGAGACAGAATTACAAAATGAATTATGCCAGAGAACTGACTTTGGAGACTGGATTTGGAGTGAGTTTTAAATAATTTCTTGAATTTGTATAGATGGAAAAGGAATCTTACAATAAGAAGAGGGCCTGAAGTCCCTACATATTGTTATTCCTTGAGAATTACTGAACTCTAAATGTGTGTTGGGCACTCTACTGCTGTACATTTATTCTATTACTTTATAGTTATGACAAGTCTATGTAGGCCATTGTTATTCCTGCTTATAGGTGAGCAACTGAGGCATTGAGCAGTTAAGAAAATTGTCCACAGTCACATAGCTAGGATTTGGAAAAACAATATAAACTTCCAATCCAAAGAACAAGAATCAGTCCCTATACATTAAAAGCTATTTCTTATTGTACAAAATCAAACCCTACCAAAACTTTTTAATTCCTCCAATAGGCCATCAATGGATAAATTTTAGCATATAAAATAAACAAATTAATTCTCAGCATAAAACAAATAAACCAAACTATTATCATATCTGAAGAGATGCAAGATGAATGTAAATTCTGAAAGTATTCCAGAAAGGAATTGGCCAAAATGTTTGCAGGAATGGTAACACAGTTCATAAAATATATATGGCTTTCTTGGGTAACTATGTCAAAGAGAAGTTGCTTATTTTGATAAATTTCAGAATTATAAAAACTACCAAGATGTTTTTCAGATTCACAGGGAGGTTTTACTCATACTGTAGAAGTGATGATGTATGCTTTACCTACATGGTGGAAGAGTTTGTTGAAGAGTGAATTAAGGCACCTCCGTGATTTCATAGCCAGAGAAGACTGAAGACAAATGAACTATCCGGGCGTGGTGGCACACACCTGTAATCCCAGCACTCAGGAGGCTGAGGCAGGAGGGTTGCTGTGAGTTTGAGACCAGCCTGGGCTACATAGTGAGTTCCAGGTCAGTCTCAACTACATAGTGAGACCCTATCTCAAAAAAACAAAACAAACAAACAAAAGAAAAGAAAGAAAGAAAGAAAAAAAAAAGAAAACAAATGAGCTAAAGGAATGAGCCTTTTCTGTGGATACAGTTCCTTCTTTGCATTGATTTATTAATTACTCTTCTTGGAAGTGCTTTCATTTAAAGATAACATTTTCGGAAACATGGCTGAAAATTTTGTCCCAGAACTTCCAGATTTAAATAGCTGCAAGTTTCCTTTTCAATATATTGTTAAATTTCTGGAAGAATGTGATGAGAAAATTGAGCATCTATAAAGAATACATTTTGGTTTAGTCCAGATCTCCATGCAGTGTTTAATATATTTCAAAAATATATTATTTTCAAGTCACTTATCAAAGTTGAGTAAAAACCTTTTTACAACTTATAATAAACCTAATTTTGAAGTCTTCTTTGACTTTTAATTGATTTTAATAAGTTGTAAAAAATTGGCTTAAAAAGAATTGATTCAAAGCTCATACACCCAAAGGCTATTTCTGAACTATAGAAATTATTTGTAATCTTGAGGTCTTTTCTTTTTCTCTGACATGATAATTAAATTACACCTTTCCCTACATGTGGGGCTGGAGATTTAGCTCAGTGGATCCACCACCTGCTTGGCAAACACAAGGTCCCAAGTTCAATCCCCAGTACTAAATAAATAAATAAATAAATAAGATCTTTCCTTATATTTTTGGGAAGGAGCAAGGTATATAACATAATCCTATCTGTAAATTATGTCCATTTGAAATTTTCAAAATGAAACAGCACCTGTAAGTTTTACTTCAAAATTATAAAGAAAAGACAAGTGATTCTCTAGAAATTAGAGATCTGTAAATCACATTCTCCAGATTTTCTCTCAAAAACACACACCTTTGTTCCTTCAATTTTGAAAGAGTCTATTTTAAGTGACCTACTTTTAAACTGGTTTTTAGTTAAGTATGTCACACCTTGATGCAGTTGACTTAAAAGTGTTTCACTTCCTGCTACTTCATCCTAAACTAATTATTTTATTTTTAGTCATTTTGACTAGGATATTTTCTCTCGAGAATGGGATCTCTTCTTTAACAGATCAGTGGATGGAAAGAATAGATTCGTTCTGACTATGATTGTCTGGTGTTTGTTTATATTTCTTTGGTTGGCTAATATTATTTATCAATCAAACAACACTTATAAGTTTACTTTCTAAGTTTTCTCTATTTAACACACTGCACCTGCAGGTGAAAGGGTACAAGGTTGCTCTAGGACTCCTTGGGTATATCTGTTCCTCAGACAGATCTTTAAAACATTGTCAACAGATGGTCATCCACCCTGTTTGTAAAAGTCTCTAGAGAAAAGTTCCACAGTTGCTTTTTATCAGGAGTCCATCTGTATTACATCCGTTTGTCTGGAAAGTGTGTCTGGTATCTGTCCAAATCCCTCCTGTTTCAATGTAAGTTTATTTCCTCTCTGTGTGACCTTTGTTGATATAAAGAGCAGCTGCTCACCATCCTCTGTGTGTAAAGTCTTTCACATGGATCAGCCTTTGTATATCAAACTGAATTCTTGGCTGCTGCAAGACACTTTGGTAGAAAACCTGATGTTTGATTTGGGAAAGGGAATGCTCTATACTCACTGGAATCTCTGCACAGAACAGTAAGAGTTCTTATTCATAAGTTGGCTTTGTTCATAAAATTGAAAATCAGGATCTGATTTAAATTCACATATCTCAACTACGAGACTGAATTTAATATATGAGACTGATATTAAGTGTAATATGGAACAATTTAAAATATGTACCCTGGCACTATGGACAGAAAAAATGCTCTTTTACATGACCCATGTACTGTTAAGTATAAAAGGTTCTAGTTCTGTGTGATATGACTCATTAAGACTCCTAAAAGTAATAGCTCTTTTTAAAAGGTCAGTTGCTGACATTTCTACATACAATACATGGGTGCACTATCATGGTACTGTAAGAGAACATGCATATTTGTTTTGAAATTCATCCAACAAATATCGACGCAACACACACCATAGCCCTGTCTCTGTGACTTATTTCACAATGTTATTTGGACTCTTGAATGATAGTGACCACCATGATCCCCACCTGGTGCTCATCCCCTCTCCTTTGGTAAAGGCAGGCCCCTTGGCTTGCTTCCAAAAAATAGAATGCATGTATGGTGGTGAAGATGATGGGTTGTATGTGATTATGTGCAAATGGTTGTGTAATTATGTTACCTAAGGTTATAGTATCCATCTTGGTGCAGCTCTTCTTTTTTGTTGGCTTTGAGGAAGCCAATGGCTATTTGGGGAACTTCTACTTAGCAAGGAACTACAAGTGGTTTTAGAAACAGAGACCAGCCTCCAGTCAACAGACTATGAAGGTCTCCTGCCAGAACCAAGCAATAAAGAAAATCCCTCAGTTCTATAGTCACAAGGAACTCAATTCTGAGTAAACTTAGAAGTGGATTCTTTACTTGAGCCTTGGCTAAGAACACAGTTCTGGATGACATCTTTATTGCAACATTGTACAAGTCCCTGATCAGAGAATCCAGCTAAGCCAAGCCTGGACTCATGATACTCAGGAACAGGAACCGAATAGATGTACATTCCTTTAAACCACTAACATCAGTGGCAAGATCACATAGAAACATACAAATAATAGAGAGCCTCTGTGTTTGGTGATTTCCCATTACCAGATTCAGGATTTGCATTTTTTGGCAGGAATAACACAGAAGTGATGCTGTATGCTTCTCAGTACATTGTATTAAAAGGTATATAGTACTTTTTAAATTCCAATGTAAGTGATATTGAATTAATCACTTGGTTAGGTTGGTATCTACAAGTTCTTCCTATCATATGCTCTTATTTTTCCATGGGTAACTAATAAGTTAAGTTGTGATAAGATACCGTGAGACTGTAAACATCCTGTTCATCATCAAATTCTCACCTATTACATTCAGTAGCCATTAATTATTTTTCTAAGTGGCACATTTTATATAGCTTTTAGGTAGCACTCTACTATAAAGAATAATATTTATTTATTCATTTCAGTGTAGAGTCAGTTTTTATTATAGTCAATTGTTTATAATTTGTTACTACTATGCATTTTGATGTTTACATTGTTCGAGATCTGTCTGTTAGAAGTCCTCTTCATCATGTATCCACTAGCTTTCTAGTCTGCTTCTATCATTTTTTAAGGTTTTCTTACATTTTGGCAAAACAGACTTTTTCAAGCACATCTTTTACTTTCCTTCCCCCAGACTTAGAATTTTCTCTAAAGATTCTGGGTCTCTTTTAGTGTAGAGTGGTATTTGGAAATGAAATCTGGGTACTAAATGTACTCATTGCTACTGACATGTCATGGCTTATCATACTTATCAGTGATAAAACTAAAATATACAGAGGTAAATTTAACTGGACATATATAATACATTTACTCTAAAAACTGCATCAGATTGCTAGGAAAACTAAACATCTGAATAAGAGTATAGATGATACACTACGTCCATAGCATATGCCTAGTATATTCATATTCTGTCCATATCCACATACTATCTATATCCATAGTATGTCCAGGGATTGGAGGACTTAATATTATTAGAAGGTTAATTTTTCAGCTATTGTTCAGTTGCTCACAATGTTAAAATAAAATTATCTGGGATTATGGTCTCAGGCGAGGCTTGACTGGGGAAACATCCACTTTTGAGTTCACTCAATTTG